AACGCCCTTAAAAGTTTGAGACATTAGAATTTATCATCATAGCTCGTAACAGCATACTCCTTAACTGTCCTGCCGTGGTTGAGAATCACACTCGATACCAACACGAACATGAAAAACTCCGAATAAGTTAGTCCATCTGCCGTGACAGAGGAAACATCTCAATGTCAACGTAAATATGGAAGAGATTCCTTTGAAACCTTCCATCTGCCGTGGTAGAGATCACACTCGATACCAACGTGAACATGGAAAATTCTTAAGTAAGTGGTCCATCTGCCGTGACAGAGAAAACATCTAATGTCAACGTGGATATGTATTCGATACGAAGAAGGTTTAGTAAAGTTCGGCAATAACGCTCAGCCTGTCCATTTTCATAATGCATGTTTGGCGTCATGAAGTGAATGTCGCTGCCAAACGAACAGCGGACCATATCTTGAAAGACGACACTCAAACATCCGTCCTCGATCCGCGACCAAAAGTCTCGGAGACCCAAACATCGAAACTGCGTCAGTAAAGGCTCTTTTCAATTCGTCAGTGTCTTGACGATGGAGGGAGTATAGAAGGCAATATTTCGTAAATACATCAATAATAATCAATACGTATTGTTACGCGCCACTATTAATGTCTTGTACATGGCAACACTAGTTACACTAGCGCCCTCTAGTGTCGAGTAGCAGAACTAGGAGAGTCGAGATCCTTCCAGAAATTTCGGGACCGATATGTACTCGAACATTCTAGATGTCGCTACAGTGGAAGGTTCTGGAAACTGTCTGAGGCCCTATATAAGGCCGGTATGGACCACGACCAAGGCAGAATTGAATTGGCGATACAAGAGAATACTTCGAAGCGAAATAACGGCGAACTGTGTTTTATTATTAGTGTGATTTTAGATTGTAATTAGTGTTGTGTAATTAAAGTGTCAATTTTGGTAATTCAATCGGCAGTTTTTAATTGTTTCGAACCCCAAGCTCGTAACAATTGGTGTCAGAAGTGGGATCAATCATGCCGATTTTACCAAAGGACGACATGGAGGGTATGCGTACCCGAAGTCAACGCCAGCTGGAGGCGGACCAGAGACGATTTGGTAATGCAACGCCGCAAACGTCGGAGGGCCAGATGCTGACCACGGAGGCCGGCCCGTCAGCAGTTCCTGCATCTGCAGCACCCGACTTAGGTGCTCTGATGATGATATTGCAGGATCAGGATCGCCGACACGAGGAACAGGCCCGTCGGTTGGAAGAGCAGCTGCAGCGTGGACAGGAGGAACAGGGTCGCCGGTTGGAAGAGCAGCTCAAACGTGATAAGGAAGAGCAGATACTTCTCATGAAGGACCTTCACGCTACCTTTGGGAAAGAGATAAGGGAGGTGAAGGATAAGGTTGCACGATATGACAACCGCCTGTCCGAAGCTGAAACTCGAATCGACCAAGTGTACAATCGGGTTGACAACGTGATGGCTGACGTTAAGAAAACGCTGGACAACCTCAAACTTGGGGAAGGAGTTACAGTTCCCGTGGTAGCTACAACACCTCCGCTACGTGGATTCAAAGTGCCGCCGTTCGACGGGAGTTCTTCCTGGTCGGCCTACAAAATCCAGTTCGAGGCTGTCATGAAAGCGAACGGCTGGAATAAAAGTCAGGCCATGACTGCTCTCACCCTAGGCCTATGCGACCAGGCCTTAACTGTTCTGGAAGCTCTCGGTAAGGAAGTGACTTACGAGCAGCTCCTTGAGGCATTGGATGCGAGATATGGCCATGCTCACCTGGAACACGTCTTTCGTGCGCAGCTCAAAGATCGCGTGCAACGCAGTAACGAAAACCTGCAGCAGTGGGCCCTCCAAGTGGAGAAGCTGGTTCGAAAAGCGTACCAGTCTGTACCTGCGCTCATTGTAGGGAACCTGGTGCAGACATTCATCGACGGCATCCGCGACCTTGAAGTCAGAGCTGCTGTGAGGCTCGGGCACCACGAGACGCTTAAGGACGCCTTGACCCATGCACTGGAGGTGGAAGCAGTGCGGCAGGATCATCGTTCCCACCGCGTCAGGGAGGTTGCAGCAGCTACAGTTCAGGACCGCAATAAGGGCTACAGCCCTAGGTGCTACGGCTGTGGGGAAAGGGGCCATCTTCGATCCAGCTGCCCTAAACGAACTGTAGAAAGGGAAGGTGATCGATCTCGAGGGGGTAGTGCGGATAATAGCACCGCCCAGCAGCAGCAGGGAAACGAGTAAAAGCCAGGACTGCGGGGCGGGTGCTGCCCCAAGCCCCAAGGATTTCGATCTCACAAACCCATGATGGGAACAGCCTAATCATCAAGGGCGAAGTCAACGGAACGCCGTGTAAACTGACCATAGACACTGGAGCCTCTCGCACAGTTGTCAGTTCCCAATTTATAAGTCGGTTCCTTGGGGACTCCGCATACAACCGAGAACGCATTAATTTGGTGACAGCCACCGGTCAGCGCATACCCGTCCGTGGAGAGAAGGAGATGGAGTTGAAGCTAGGCAACATGATCTACCTGCATAATGTCATCGTGGCTGATATAATGGACGACTGCATCCTGGGCCTAGACTTTATGAGGAAGAATTGTTGTGAGATCCACGTTAAGCAAGGTGTTTTGAAATGTGGACAAGAGGAACTTTTCGTGGAAGGGGCGTTACCAGGGAATGTGTACAGCCTTAAGAAGATTGTTCTTCCGCCGCGATCGGAAACGATTGTGCCGGTTAGACTTCCACGGAATCCTGGGCAAACTCTTCGTTGTGTACTCGTGGAAAGGGTAGACAATGACCTTCCATGGAAAGTGGCTCGAACCTTGGTCAGAACCGCCGACATCTCAGGAGTACGTGTGCTGAACCTTTGTGATCAGGAACAGATTATAGAAAAAGGCACATTGGTTGGTACTAGTGAGGAAGTGGATTGGTTGCGTCGGTGCGAATATCTATCAACTGGGACCCCCAGCAAGGATGGACAAACTAGAGTGACCACACTTTTAGAAGACTGTCGCAGCGTTCTCTCCCCGAATGAAATGGTCAAAGCGAAGAAGTTTTTACTCAAGTACGCCAATGTTTTCTCGTCAAACGAAGCTGACATAGGAAAGACTGGCTTAGTTCAATACAAAATAAACACAGGACAAGAATTGCCTATTCGTCAGCGGCCAAGAAGATTGCCTGTAGCACGTGAAAAGGAAGTGGAAACCATGATTGAGGGAATGGTGAAGGATGGTGTTATTGAACCTTCATCTAGTCCATGGTGTTCACCTGTGGTGCTGGTAAAGAAGAAGGACGGCAGCATGCGGTTTTGTGTTGACTACCGCCGCCTGAACGACGTTACAAAGAAGACCAGCTATCCCTTGCCAAGAATTGATGACACGCTGGACATGCTTACAGGCGTATAGTGGTTTAGTACGCTGGATCTGAAAAGTGGCTACTGGTAGGTTGAAATTGACCCTAAGGACAAGGAGAAAACTGCATTCTCCACAGGAAAGGGCCTGTGGCAATTTAAAGTCATGCCGTTTGGATTGTGCAATGCTCCAGCAACGTTTGAAAGGTTGATAGAGCTTGTACTTACCGGGCTAATTGGAGATGCCTGTCTCGTCTATTTGGATGACATCATCATCGTAGGCCGTACGTTTGAGGAACACCTTCAAAACCTGGAACGCGTGCTCATGAAGATCCAGAGTGCCAACCTCAAGTTGAGTCCAAAGAAGTGCTCACTATTCAAACGGCAAGTTAGTTTTTTGGGGTATGTACTGTCGGAAGAAGGTATCCGCACGGATCCAGAGAAAATTGCTGCTGTCAAGGAGTGGCTGGTCCCAAAAGACAAGACACAGGTTAGAGCATTTTTGGGTTTGTGCTCTTATTATCGGCGATTTGTGAAGAACTTTGCAGATATAGCCAAACCTCTGCACAAGCTAACCGAGGAGAAGCGACAATTCTGCTGGGATGAAAGTTGCGATATTGCATTCCAGGAGCTCAAGAACCGTCTGTGCAAAACACCTATTTTGGGGTACCCTGATGCGGGCAAGGAATTCATAGTTGACACAGACGCAAGTGATATAGGACTTGGCGGTGTGTTGTCTCAACGGAATGGTGATCAATAGATTGTGATAGCGTACTTCAGCAAGTCGTTGTCAAAGCCGGAAAGGAACTATTGTGTCACAAGACGGGAATTGCTTGCTGTGGTAAAGTCCTTGCAGCATTTTAGCAAATATCTTCTAGGGCGGAAATTCCACTTACGAACTGACCATGCTGCACTGAAATGGCTATTGCAGTTCAAAAATCCGGAAGGACAAGTTGCGAGATGGATAGAACTACTGCAGGAATACGACTTTGTGATCGAACATCGCAGCGGGAAATCTCATGGCAATGCAGATGCATTGTCAAGAAGACCTTGCCCTGAAGATTGCAAGCATTGTACTAGGCAAGAGGGTAAGGAAGTGGTATCTGTGAGAATGCTCAGGACAGACCAGCTCAGCAATGAGTGGAAGGACAGCCTACAACATGCACAGCAGGAAGATTCGGACATTAAGCCGATTCTGGAATGGATGAAGGCCAGTGCTCCTAAGCCCAAGTGGAGCGACGTCTCAGCAATGAGTTCGACCACGAAAAGCTATTGGGCCCAATGGGACAGCTTGCTGATTCAGGATGGAGTCCTGTGCCGTAAATGGGAAAATGGTCGGGGAGACAGGTGTCATTTGCAAATGGTTGTCCCTAAGGCTAAAGTGCCGGATATTCTACAGCTGTACCATAGTGGTTGTTCAGGAGGCCACCTGGGAGTTAAACGAACTCTCCTGAAGATCCGAGAACGGTTTTACTGGGTCCACTGTCGTGACGATGTCGAGGACTGGTGCCGCAAATGTACAAGTTGTGCGGCTGTAAAGGGACCTCAAACTCGTAGTAGAGGCGCATTGAAATAGTACAATGTTGGTGCACCATGGGAGAGGATAGCCATTGACGTTGCGGGGCCGTTTTCAGAAACTGAAAGTGGTAACAAGTGTTTCATAGTTGTGATGGATTACTTCACTAAGTGGCCAGAAGTCTTCGCCATTCCAAATCAAGAAGCTTCAACCGTTGCAGATAAACTAGTTCATGAAGTCTTTTGTCGTTTTGGAGTACCTTTAGAGATTCACAGCGATCAAGGAAGGAATTTTGAGTCTCAAATATTCCAGGAAACTTGCCGAGTTATGGGTCCTCAGAAAACACGAACAACTTCTTACCACCCACAATCTGATGGAATGGTAGAAAGATTTAGTCAGACATTGGAGAGGTACCTAGAAAAAGTTGTGGAAAAACGGCAACGAGCCTGGGACAGGCACATACAACCGTTTTTGTTGTCATATCGAAGCGCTGTTCATGAAAGTACATCAGTGACACCAGCTTTCGTAAACTTTGGGGGAGAATTACGGCTGCCTGCAGACCTGATCACCGGAATACCACCTGATGCCCCACGCAGTATAACCGATTATGCAAATGACTTGCGGAACAAAATGAATGACATTTATGAGCACGTCAGACAGACGGGCCAGCAAACGTCTAAGAAGATGAAAACACGGTATGACCGCAAAATGAACAACAAGGGGTTTGATGAAGGTTCACTAGTGTGGTTACACAATCCAGTTCGCAGCAAAGTGAAATCTCCTAAGCTTCAAGCTAAATGGGACGGATCGTACTGGATTGTGACAAGGATCAATGACGTAACCTACCGGATACAGAAAGGTGTCAGAGGTACTCCTAAGATTGTCCATGTGGATCGACTGGCGCGTTATTATGGGGCCAATAATGCTCGGGACGAGCATGTCTTAGGAGGGGGCAGTGTTACGCGCCACTATTAATGTCTTGTACATGGCAACACTAGTTAAACTAGCGCCCTCTAGTGTCGAGTAGCAGAACTAGAAGAGTCGAGATCCTTCCAGAAATTTCGGGACCGATATGTACTCGAACATTCTAGATGTCACTACAGTGGAAGGTTCTGGAAACTGTCTGAGGCCCTATATAAGGCCGGTATGTGTCAACAGGGGGACGCGGCAATCAAACACCGAGATCGAGCTGAGACTGATTTATTCATATCCACCCTCCAGTATTACAATAATCTCTCCAATCTCCCTTCTTAATGATAAGAAACAAAATTAAAATGGGATTTTACTCTTGCATATTTTTATCACAAAAATAGTAAGACAATTGATAGGTATTTTCACTATAAAATAATAATTTAAATAATATTACATATGTATAATAAATTAGTAAGTTATTCTGCTTAATAATACATTATTATGAATTATATCTCTCTAACTACTCATCTTCCCCTATCTTACAAATAAGAAAAATCAATTATGAAATCACTGGCGTTACAATATGTGTATGTATAGTATGAAATGTTCATTTAATTACTTAAATTAAATTATTATTCTTTTTTTTTTAGTAATACTTATTTTATTTTTAATTCAATAAATCAATTACATTTATTTCATTTCTTAAGTAATAAATCTAAAATAATACACCAACTAACTAAAATTATAAGTCCAGTCAGGAATCGAACCTAGGACCTTTGGTGTAATAAACGTGCATGCTGTGCAGCTTAACAAACAAAAAATAATATCATGCCGGGTTTTGATAGTTTACATTCTTTTTTTTACATACTTTATTTTCGTTATTTGAGCGTACGTTATAATTTAGAGTTTTGTTTTCACTGAACACGGTGACTGTGGCGACGCAGCTGCGCAGCTATACATCACCGCTGTTCAGTGTTCAAAGCCCAATCTATCCGGTGGCCTCACTGTCCTGCCGGAACGTGTGACATAATAATTATTGTTGTTTACTGTATTAGGTGAGGCTGCAGAAGGTATAGTGCAGTTGGAAACCTGATTGTTTTGCGGGCAGTGAGGTCGGACATCATCGTAATTGTTTAAAGTATAGTGCGGCGCGTCCTGTCTATGTGGAGAATCTTTAATAATATGGCGTCTGTTACGTATAATAATGCTCCCGTTTGCTAATTTTATTTTATACTAGCTGTGCCCGCGGCGTAGCTCGCGAATATAGGTTTTACTTAAAGAATTTGACGTTTAGGGTAAGAGAATATTAAACGATTTATATCATTACTGTATGAATAAGTGGTAACAAAATAAATCGATATGCTCAAAGTTCTAAGTCGTTTATGATAGAGCTTCTGTGTAAACGACGATAGAAGTAGACTTAGCCGCGGCGTACAGAAAAAGGTTACGGGGACTACTAACGCGGGAAAAACAAACATAGAGTTGGCCATGTGCAAAACAATCAGTACTGAGGTCCACTCCTGCAACGCGTAAAGTTTGACCTTGCGCTTTATTTACGATCGTCGTATAACACACGCTGAGTGGGAAACACACTGAAAATAGGGATGTTAGATGATCGTTGATGTTAAAAATTAAAACTTCGATGTTTTAACATCGATGTTGACATATGTCAAACATCGAAACATCGACGTCAATGAACCCATAATCGATAATTGGGAACTTGCAAACAATGAGAACTCGCGAAATCAATATAACTAAATATTGCATCTGCTCTGAAGATTAAAAACTTTGTATAATTCAGAATTTCTGAACGCATCGTTAACCTAAAAAAATGTCAGTATGGTGAGTCAAACTTAATCGTCAAGTGTCTCCTGTAATGTCACAATGGTCACTGCTTTCGCTTTATTTTGTAGTGTCGTTGTCGGTTGTCGCATAATAACTATTCTACGTAAATTGATATTCAAGTTAATTGTTACTTTTCCCTTGCTGTGTATACCCACATAATTTTGAAACAATGTGTAAGTATCTACACATATACAAAAACCATCGATAATGGTCAACATCGATGTTTTGAGTAGCCTAAACATCGAACATTGATGTTATTATCCCTATCTTGAAACTGAAGCCTGAGCCGTGGTAGCTCAGATGGTTAGCGCTCGCTGTAAGCTTTACAGTACTCGAGCAACTCGGGTTCGATCCCCGCCGGCACCAATTAAATTGTTAATTGCAATTTTAAGTGCTCATTTACCACGTGCTCGGCGGTGAAGGAAAACATCGTAAGGAAACCTGCATGTCTGAGAAATAAAAAAAATATTTCGATGACATGTGAAATTCGCCAACACGTATTGGGGCAGCGCGGTGGACATTTCCTTGCCCTAAAACCCTCTCAGAAATGAGAGGAGGCCTGTGCCCAGCTGTGGGACGTAAATAGGCTGCAACTTTACTTTACTTTACTTAAAACTGAAAGGAAAGTTATTTGGTATTAGAGGGATTCTGGGTATAAAACAATATCACTATCACGACATTTATTGCAATTTTGCGACTTTTAGTCGAATTGAATAATTGAATTGAATATTTCAATATCTCTTTTTTCTGGTTTTTGTTTCTGATGATTTTTGTGATGTGTTGTCTAACCTACACCCTTCGTCAGACTTTCAGTGAGTCTCAATACGATTCACCTGTGAAAAATCTTAACACCGCAATTCAGAAAAGGTTGTAATTTGTACAACGCCATCTATTACGTTCTTTGTGAGAAAACATTCTTTTTTAATTTAAGGAATACATATTTTTTACTGTGTTTTAAGTACTATAATAGAACGATACGAAATATATTATAATAGAACGTTTTTTTTTACACACGAATCTTTTTATTACTATTTCTGAGATTTTGTGGCGCCATTAAACAAATTCGAACCTACATTTCAAAATAATAATCATAACTTTCGATAGAATTAACCAATTTCAATAAAACAAAGATTAAATGAACTTAATTTCAAAAATTTTAACCTGCCTTTTGTATCACATTTTTGCCACACCACCATCTATCGATGAAATTGGTTAACTATTGTACTTTAATTTAGTTTAGATAATAAGGTTAATATATTTTGTATATATTTATTACGTTCTTTATGTAATACTTTTGTTTACTGCGTTTTAGATATAATTATATCATTATAGAACATTATTTTATATCATTTAATTATGAATTATAATATGATATCAATTTTAAAATGTACTTGATGACTCATCCAACGCCACTATTGAACAAATTCGTACCTATACTTAGTACCCATACTTCAGAATATTTGTCATAACTTTTGATGGAATTAACCAATTTTAATGAAATAAAGACTAAATGTAACCTGAATATACACTTAATAATTTCCTTAACTATTCTTATGATATAAATTAGTACTTTATACGTGATACGTTAACAAACAAACAGACAGACAGACAGACAGAAAAATCTAAAAATGGTAGAAATGTATTTATTTACTTATTTTTAGTACCTATCAATCACTTCTATTACAAAAATATAAAATGTACAGACATCTGCTATTTACATTTTTATTATATGTATAGATGAACGATATCGCAGCTGACCCAATATTGTCCCTGATAACCATTCTCTTTGGTTTACATCTAGTAGTACCCTTACTTTTTGTCCGTTACTTAATTGGTCTAGATTTCGCGTATGTTGGTCGTAGTAGTATTATTGATTATTTTGCCTCATGACTAATTTATTATGTACATTCTTTTGTAATTTTGGTTTTAAAGTGTAATCTAACTTTGGTAACATACTTCTGAATTTCCTACTTTGCAATAACTCAGCTGGTGATGAAATATCATTTTCTAAAGGTGTGTTAAGATACTCTAATAAAGCCAATCGATAATCAACTCTATCTCCTTTACTTTTAAGTATTATGTTTTTTACAGTTTGTACCATTCGCTCAATTTGTCCGTTAGATTGCGGATATCGTGGCGATGAGGTTATGTGTTTGAAATTCCATTCTAACGAAAACTGTCTAAACAGGGTTGATGAAAACTGTGGACCACAATCAGACATGACTACGTTCGGTATACCCTGACGACTAAATATGTTTTTTAGGGTTTCAATTATACTCGCTGAAGTTGTACATTGTAATTTCTCTATTTCAAAAAAATTGCTATAGTAATCGACTAATAATAAATAATCCACACCTTTTATTTGAAATAGATCTGTACCTACTTTTGCCCATGGTCGGTCGGGAATTTCGTGAGGTTGCATTTCTTCCTTTTGGTTGTTTTTCCTGTACGTCAGGCATATACTACAATTAGATATTAAAATTGTTAAATCGTTATTTATTCCCGGCCAAAATATTGTCTCCCTTGCCCGCAATTGACATTTTTGCAACCCTACATGACCGACGTGTATCTTTTTTAACAAATCTTTTCTTAAGAGTTTTGGCACCACTATCCTTTGATCCTTCCAGACTAGACCATACGCGATCGATAAATGCTCTTTATAGCCCCAATATGGCTTTACCAAATCTATGACGTCATGTTTGTTTGTAGGCCACCCTTCTATTATGTATTTCCTCAACAACGCGAGTTCTTCATCATTTTCTGAACTCTTTTGCAACTTAATAAACTGCAAGTCCGTAACATCAGTCGCTGCGCTCAGTCCCATATCTCTTGTGATCGCGCAAACTTCATCGTGCTGTGTATAGTCAGCGCTGGAAACCTGCGCGCTCAACGCCGGCTCGGGCTCGTATGCCCGTGACAACGCGTCAGCAATAAATAGATGTTTACAGGCTTTGTAGACTAATTTGAATGTATAGCGTTGTAATTTCAATAACATCCGTTGTAGGCGCGATGGTGAGTCCACTATTGGTTTCTTTATAATGCTAACGAGTGGCTTGTGATCAGTTTCGATCACGACATCTGTTCTTCCGTAAATGTACGCATGAAACCTCTCACACGCAAAAACGCAAGCGTATAACTCCTTCTCTATCTGAGCATATCGCTGTTCTGCTTTTGACAATGACTTAGACGCATAGCAAACTGGCATTCCTTTTTGCATT